TGTGCAATGATACAAGTAAAAGGAGGGCTGTAGACATTTTCGCTTAGCAGTGTACTCACTTTTGTTGCCAGCGGTTTAGACATTAATGGCTGTGTGTTGAGTTATTTTGAGGGGACAGCAAATGTACACTGTTATACAAGCTGTACACTCACTTCTTTACATTGTAGCAAAGTGTAATTTCTTCAGTGTTGTCACATGAAAAGATATACTCAAATATTTACAAAAATGTGAGGGTGTACTCACTTTTTGTGAGATACTGTATATAAAAAGTTTAATTAGGTAAATGTTGTATTTACCAGGAATAATGAAACAGAATAAAAATAGATGTTTGGTTAATCTATGAATTATGTATGACCACTGGAGTCTGCCACTCAAAGTATTTTTTTATATAATATTTAGAAATGTATTTCATCACTCAATCTTGCCAAAGCATATTCTGTAGGAGGGGTTAATATGAATTTAAAATAATTTGACATGATTTAAATGAATCAGGTCATGAACATATGGACTTTGAAATTAACAAGGGAGAGGTTAAACTTAGGCTAAGTCTGGCATAAGCTTTTTCCCACACCTTACAAAAACTATGTTGTAGTGGTCTTAGGTAGTCTCCGTATAGGCTATTCCATCCATCACGACACTGCTGCCAAAGACCAAGAAAAAAGAACTTGAGCGTGCATAACTATTTTGGACTATTTTGTGTATGTCCATTTACATGAAATCCAAATAAAAATACATTTAAATTACAGGTTGTAATGCACCAAAATAGGAAAAACGCCAACGGGGATGAATACTTTTGCAAGGCACTGTATTTTAACATTTAATTCATCCTTCATTCAGTTCGGTCAGTCAGTATGCCATCCATTCTGTAATTTGTCTGAGTTGCAATAGGAACTAAATCAAAGAGAATAGAACAGTCTTATCCATATGTTTATTGAAATTCATGTGTGTATTCAAAATTATCTAAATTCTCCAAAGTTCTTTAGCCTATCACTTTAATAATTCAATGTTTAATTTAGGCCTATCCAAATAAATAATAGGCCTTCAACTTGAAGGCATTGAAATTTATGCTATCATTTTGGGTACTGGTGTCTTGCGGAATAATTTTAGAACTATATTTGTGTTTTATAACTGTTTTTATTATAGGCCTCCCCTTAAAAAGAGTCCCTAGCTCTTCTGTGTCTTTATATTATCATTCTAACACAAGTCATTTGCTGAAGGCCCAAGCCTATATTACGCCATCTACTGCTATAACGTCGTTATCGAATACCATTGTAAAACAAGCTCTAGACTTTTATTTTGGAAATGAAACCAGAAGCTGCAAAGCAACTCTAACGTCTGGGCTAGATTTGCTTGATTGACTAGCTAACTTCGAATACCTTTCCACATTCCTGACAAAAGTTTGTACGCATACAAAAAGATCTGTAACTGAGTAAAGGGAGATGTAAAATAAGAATTGACCGTGTAAATGTTAATTCATAGTCGTAACATAGTGTTTGTACGTTTTACAGATCTAATTTAACAGTTACGTTTCATGTTTTACGCATGGCTTTTCTTACGATCCTAACAATTGACATGTGTATTTTCATAAGATCCTAACTATGAGTACACTACCAGTCAAAAGTTTGGACACACCTACTCATTCAAGGGGTTTTCTTTATTTTTTAAAAATGTTTTACATTGTAGAATAATAGTGAAGACATCAAAACTATGAAATAACACATGGAATCATGTAGTACCCAAAAAGTGTTAAACAAATCAAAATATATTTTATATTTCAGATTATTCAAATAGCCACCCTTTGCCTTGATTACAGCTTTGCACACTCTTGGTATTCTCTCAACCAGCTTCATGAGGTAGTCACCTGGAATTTATTTCAATTAGCAGGTGTGCCTTGTTCAAAGTTAATTTGTGGAATTTCTTTCCTTCTTAATGCGTTTGAGCCAATCAGTTGTGTTGTGACAAGGTAAGGGGGGTATACAGAAGATAGCCCTATTTGGTAAATGACCAAGTCCATGTTATGGCAAGAACAGCTCAAATAAGCAAAGAGAAACGACAGTCAATACGGAAGATTTCAATAACTTTCTTTAAGTGCAGTCGCAAAAACCATCAAGCGATATGATGAAACTGGCTCTACTGAGGACCGCCACAGGAATGGAAGACCCAGAGTTACCTCTGATGCAGAGGATACGTTTATTAGAGTTACCAGCCTCAGAAATTGCAGCCCAAATAAATGCTTCACAGAGTTCAAGTCACAGACGCATCTCAACATCAACTGTTCAGAGGGGACTGTGTGAATCAAGCCTTCATGGTCGAATTGCTGCAAAGAATCCACTACTAAAGGACACCAATAAGAAGAGACCTGCTTGGGCCAAGAAACACGAGCAATGGACATAAGACCTGTGGAAATGTGTCCTTTGTTCTGGAGTCCAAATTGGAGATTTTTTGGTTCCAACCGCCGTGTCTTTGTGAGACACGGTGTGGGTGAATGGATGATCTCCGCATGTGTAGTCCCACCGTAAAGCATGGAGGAGGAGGTTTTATGGTGAAGATCCCACATGCTGAGCACTTGTTGGCTGCTTTTCCTTCACTCTGCGGTCCAGTTCCTCCCAAACCATCTCAATTGGGTTGAGGTCGGGTGATTGTGGAGGCCAGGTCATCTGATGCAGCACTCCATCACTCTCCTTCTTGGTCAAATAGCCATTACACAGCCTGGAGGTGTGTTTTGGGTCATTGTCCTGTTGAAAAACAAATGATAGTCCCACTAAGCGCAAACCAGATGGGATGGCGTATCGCTGCAGAATGCTGTGGTAGTCATGCTGGTTAAGTGTGCCTTGAATTCTAAATAAATCACTGACAGTGTCACTAACAAAGCACCCCCACACCATCACACCACCTCCTCCATGCTTTACGGTGGGACTACACATGCGGAGATCTTCCGTTCACCCACACCGCGTCTCACAAAGACACGGCGGTTGGAACCAAAAATCTCAAATTTGGACTCCAGACCAAAGGACACATTTCCACAGGTCTTATGTCCATTGCTCGTGTTTCTTGACCCAAGCAAGTCTCTTCTTCATATTGGTGTCCATTAGTAGTGGTTTCTTTGCAGCAATTAGACCATGAAGGCATTATTCACGTAGTCTCCTCTGAACAGTTGATGTTGAGATGTGTCTGTTACTTTAACTCGGTGAAGCATTTATTTGGGCTGCAATCTGAGGTGCAGTTAACTCTAATGAACTTATCCTCTGCAGTAGAGTTAACTCTGGGTCTTCCTTTCCTGTGGCGGTCCTCATGAAAGCCAGTTTCATTATAGCGCTTGATGGTTTTTCTTCTGTATAACCCCCCTGCCTTGTCAAAACACAACTGATTGGCTGAAACGCATTAAGAAAGAAAAATAATTTCCACTAATTAACTTTTAACATGGCACACCTGTTAATTGAAATGCATTCCAGGTGAGTACCTCATGAAGCTGGTTGGGAGAATGCCAAGAGTGTGCAAAGCTGTCATCAAGGCAAAGGGTGTTTACTTTGAAGAATCTCAAATATAAAATATATTTTGATTTGTTTAACACTTTTTTGGTTACTACATGATTCCATATGTGTTATTTCATAGTTTTGATGTCTTCACTATTATTCTACAATGTAGAAAAAACCTTGAATGATTAGGTGTGTCCAAACTTTTGACTGGTACTGTGTATATATGTTTACATTTTTCAATATTAATACATTAATATATATATTTTTTGTATTATTGAAATAATTTTTTGTAGCACTTACAGATGAAACACTCTTAAAGGAGGCCTAGGTAAGGCCTAATGTCATAGATATGCCAACTTTTATAAATTAATTCTCAATTATGCTTTAGATACAAATGTCAAATATATGTCAACAATCCTTCTTCAAAATGACCGTTCTATGTATTCAATTTTGTGAAAATCCCCCAAATCATGGTCTTTTTTTGTCCTGGTTTCGTATGGAATCACTCCATGGGATTAATTTAGCAATCATGCCCTTTTTTGTTGGATGGTAGATTTTCTCAACTTTTAAGGATAAATTGCCTTTTTGTAGACAAATAGAAGATCCAACATATTATTAAAGATGAATTTGGACAATTCACTGTAATATTAAGATTATAAATTGTTCATTACAGTACATTTTCAGTAATTTCTTAGCTCTTGGGGGGACTTTTGGCTGGACTTAATAAAACACAAACTGCAGGAAGCCCACACTATCATTAAAATAGTTTCCGGGTTGCCTAGTGTGGTCTACAGATTTGGGCCACTGCTTTCAGAGCTCATATGCCGGTATTGACGGGCGTTAGAATCCAGACCACTTGCCCTTCTATCTCTCCTACCAATTTTCCTGTCACCCTCTCACTGTCCAAAAATAGTTTGTTAAATCTGTACAGATGTCTCATTTGTGAGTGTGCAAGGATGTTTGAAATGTGTGTGTGTACTGTGCAATAAACGGGTATGTGTGTTGTGGTCACCTGTGCTGGCCCAGCGTCTCTGCCTCATCTTCCTATTTTTCATCCAGATAAGTGGTCTGGGCATTGTTCCCGGAGAACGGTCCAAAGCTTTACAGTGCCATCATGGATAAACCTCTGTCTGGGTCACACATTCACGCCCTCACACACAATCATACCACACACTATCATACTGTAGGGAAAAGCCAAAATGTCTTGCCTTATAGGAAAGATTGAATCATTTCCTAACTTTGATTTAATCATGGCAGACATTTTTAGACTTCAAATTCACATACTTCATTTGAGATAATTTCCGTATACAAAGAGATTAAGATATTCAATTAATTATCTTTGTTCTGTAGCAAACTGGAATCCTATCGATTCCATTTCTGATTTAATGTTGTTGCATACTTCATATGTTATTTACCCTGGGCTATGGTTTTCTTAGCTACCCTTTCTGGTGTGCTGATGTGAGATGAGATGTAGAAAATGAAAAAAATACATTACTACTGCAGCATCAGCTGTGTTCAACAGTGATACCTGACACCTGTTTGTTTGTTTTTCTCCTCAGAAACTCTTTCCATGAGTCTCTGAAGCAGATCGGTGCCACCCAGCACCAAGCCAACGCAGTGAGCATGGGGACATATGAGACGGTCCAACACTTCAACGAAATCAAGGAACATCTACATGTGGTCAAGAGGAACCTCGAACACCTCATCACACGCAATGGGGTCTGTTAATAACTATTTAATAACTTATCTTACGGTAAGCCACTGTAAAAACCATCTCAACAGTCTCAACAAATGAATTTGGAAAGAGCATTGGATATGTGTTTCTACCTTCTTCTGTTTTGTGACGCATGTAGAGCCCCAGTGAAAAGCAGGTGGTGAAATGCCCTGACCCTCCTCCAATGCCTTCCTGTCTGGGTACTACTCACTTCCTGGTCTTTGTGGTCATCCAATCAGTCCTGTTCTTCAGCTACATCATGTACAAGTAAGAGTGAGATCTTGTTTTCACTTTTTTATTATCTTTAATAATTCAACAGTGTAATTACATTTTTGTTGTTTCTGTCACAATTCACTCTCTCTCCCTCTGAATGTACTTCCTTGTTTCTTCTCCCTCTACAGAAGTCAACAAGAAGCAGCAGCAAAGAAATTCTTTTGATGAAACGTTATCATCGATATCATGATATGTAAATGAGGGACTGTTCATTTTGCTGGATGTTTTAGTTTTTCAAATAGTAAATTATTGTACTTGAAAATTAGATTTAATTTGATATTTTTAACAGGGTATGTTATGTGAATGAATGCTCGAGTGGGAAATGTTAAGATTCCAAATATGATGTAATATATTCTATACAGTATTTTGCCATGTCATTGGATGATATTTGATCTTTCAAATGTTTTTTGACAAGTGCCCACCCCCAGAAAACAAACAAACCACTGTCTGCCAATTCACATAGTTTGGAAAACTGTTGATTTAATAAATGCGCAATTTTGTATTAATTCTGAACTATGTTGAATTAAACTCGGAGTGGATGTCCAGTATGTCTTCTTGAATGGTTGAAACATGCCAAAAATATGACGTTGTTTTTCTTCTCAAGCTATTTACATAAAAAATAAACCGACATTTTGCAGCTTTTTTCTCTTTCTTGTTCCTGAATGTCATCTTGTTAACATATTGGTGCTCATCTAGTAAAAAGTAGCCGAATAGTTGTAACATTTGTACCTGAAAGTTTTGTCTTGGTAGCATGGTCCCAGATCTGTTTTGGCTGTCTTGTCACTCACCAAACGTGACAATGAGCGACAAGGCGCTAGATAGCACAAACAGATCTGGGACCAGGCTATCATCCTGGCTGTTTTGATCAGGATCGCTTAAAGAGACATTAGCTAAATGCTTGACTTAGTGTTTAGTCTGGTCAAGGATTGGTCTGAGAAAGGGACTACAGTGTGAGGCACGGTAGGCTGGTGTCCAGCTATAATAGTCTCTGACAGGGCAGAGAACATGCTGGACAAATGCTGGGCCTTAATTATAAAATAACAACTCTAATGTACAGTGGGGAAAAAAAGTATTTAGTCAGCCACCAATTGTGCAAGCTCTCCCACTTAAAAAGATGAGAGAGGCCTGTAATTTTCGTCATAGGTACACGTCAACTATGACAGACAAATTGAGAAAAAATAATCCTGACAATCACATTGTAGGATTTTTAATGAATTTATTTGCAAATTATGGTGGAAAATAAGTATTTGGTCACCTACAAACAAGCAAGATTTCTGGCTCTCACAGACCTGTAACTTCTTCTTTAAGAGGCTCCTCTGTCCTCCACTCGTTACCTGTATTAATGGCACCTGTTTGAACTTGTTATCAGTATAAAAGACACCTGTCCACAACCTCAAGCAGTCACACTCCAAACTCCACTATGGCCAAGACCAAAGAGCTGTCAAAGGACACCATAAACAAAATTGTAGACCTAGGCTGGGAAGACTGAATCTGCAATAGGTAAGCAGCTTGGTTTGAAGAAATCAACTGTGGGAGCAATTATTAGGAAATGGAAGACATACAAGACCACTGATAATCTCCCTCGATCTGGGGCTCCACGCAAAATGATCACAAGAACGGTGAGCAAAAATCCCAGAACCACACGGGGGGACCTAGTGAATGACCTGCAGAGAGCTGGGACCAAAGTAACAAAGCCTACCATCAGTAACACACTACGCCGCCAGGGACTCAAATCCTGCAGGGCCAGACGTGTCCCCCTGCTTAAGCCAGTACATGTCCAGGCCCGTCTGAAGTTTGCTAGAGTGCATTTGGATGATCCAGAAGAAGATTGGAGAAAGTCATATGGTCAGATGAAACCAAAATATAACTTTTTGGTAAAAACTCAACTCGTCGTGTTTGGAGGACAAAGAATGCTGAGTTGCATCCAAAGAACACCATACCTACTGTGAAGCATGGGGTGGAAACATCATACTTTGGGGCTGTTTTTCTGCAAAGGGACCAGGACGACTGAACCGTGTAAAGGAAAGAATGAATGGGGCCATGTATCGTGAGATTTTGAGTGAAAACCTCCTTCCATCAGCAAGGGCATTGAAGATGAAACGTGGCTGGGTCTTTCAGCATGACAATGATCCCAAACACACCGCCCGGGCAACGAAGGAGTGGCTTCGTAGGAAGCATTTCAAGGTCCTGGAGTGGCCTAGCCAGTCTCCAGATCTCAACCACATAGAAAATCTTTGGAGGGAGTTGAAAGTCCGTGTTGCCCAGCGACAACCCCAGAACATCACTGCTCTAGAGGAGATCTGCATGGAGGAATGGGCCAAAATACCAGCAACAGTGTGTGAAAACCTTGTGAAGACTTACAGAAAACTTTTGACCTGTGTCATTGCCAACAAAGGGTATATAACAAAGTATTGAGAAACTTTTGTTATTGACCAAATACTTATTTTCCACCATAATTTGCAAATACATTCATAAAAAATCCTACAATGTGATTTTCTGGATTTTTTTTTTTTCATTTTGTCTGTCGTAGTTGACGTGTACCTATGATGAAAATTACAGGCCTCTCTCATCTTTTTAAGTGGGAGAACTTGCACAATTGGTGGCTGACTAAATACTTTTTTCCCCCACTGTAATTGTATAACGTTTGCCTTTTTCTATAGCTCCACTGTTGTGTTGGCTGTTGACTGTGCTGTGGCAGGGGAGGCAGCTAAATTAGCTTTCCTGGGTGTGAATGAAATGTAATTATGTCTTATTTATGACGTGACAATGTGGTCTGATTATCATTAGCTGTCCCTAATGGCAGTGCACTATAAAGGGTAGTGCACTATAAAGGGAATAGGGTGCCATTTGGGACACAATGGAATTCATTGTGCTTTCACAATTCAATTTTTATGCCATTATTGTGGGTACGCGGAGGTGGCATTATAAACTAAAGAATGGACATGAACGAGAGCGGAAGGCCATAGAGAGGTACATTCTGTTTACAAGCGTCATGCTATTTCTTGTGTCCTCAACGGCATCCCAAATACAAATAGCATTCAGTATTTCACAATTCCGTTGCCTTGGAGGTTGCATGTTACAAAAGTGTATCGCTCCAATATGGTTAAAATGTCCTTCTGGCAAGAATTGATTCTACAACACAAACCTGGAGTAAAATAAATGTGATATCCAGCAGGGATATTGGCAGGGATAATGGCCCTCCTGTAGCTCAGTTGGTAGAGCATGGCGCTTGCAATGCAAGGGTTGTAGGTTTGTTTCCCACGGGGGTCTAGTATGAAAAATGTATGCACTCACTAATTGTAAGTCGCGCTGGATAAGAGCGTCTGCTAAATGACTAAAATGTCAAAGAATATCCTTATTGCTGTACTAAACTGACTTCTGTACTGTTTGTTAAATTTAATAAAAAAATAAGATGAACCAAACAATGTACTTGAGTCTTTTTGAATTGCACCCTGTTACCTTCACATTTACTAGGTCATAATTTCCTTCTTGTTGACAACACCCTTATAAGCATAATTTTTTTGACACTGTTATTTTGTAATGTAATATATACAGTGATACAGGCATGCAGTATATGATACAATGATCTCCGGTGTATTATGCGATGCGTGAAAACTACATGGCAATGTCCCTCTATTCAATTGCTTGTGGAGGAATCAGGATGGCATGACAGATGTGCTGCTGGAGTTTCACAGGCATCGCTCTAATCCGCTGGTTAGAATAGAATACGGGTGACGATATTGAGACAGAATGATAGAGGGAGAGAAACAGAGAGAGAGCAAAAGAGAGGGGGCGAGGAGGGAGAGAGAGATGGGGGGCTCATGGAGGGAGAGAGAGAGGAAAAGAGAGAGTGAGAGAGGAAAAGAGAGGGTGAGCGAGAGAGAGATAGAGAGAGTGGGTGAGGAGGGAGAGAGATGAGGGGGGCTCAAGGAGGGAGAGAAAGAAAGAGCCAGGAAAAGAGAAAGAGGGTGAGTGAGAGACAGAGGGTGAGAGAGCGAGAGGGGAAGTGGATTAATAACTCAGAAAAAGTGCAGCACAATTTAACAAATGGCAGAACTTTGGGTTGACATTCACTAGTTGTGTCATAAAAACAGAAACGTGTTATGTACAATATTCATTTTCACACGTTTTCATATATTCCATCACAAAGGCACAGAAAGAATAAAGCCAGTATTTGTACACATGCCATGAGGATTAGCAAGAGAGGATGGCCATGGTATCTGACCTGGAAGTATAAGGGTTAACATCAAAGCTACAAATAGCTGAACCATAACAAGGTATCTCTGCAAGACATGACATCAAATACCAATGTTCCAGTCAGCACTCATGCTAAATGTATGGCATGCCTAGATAAATAAAATAAAAAATCCAAATATAAACTGACATTTTATTTAGGTCACAGTGCCATTAATTTGTTGAAATATGCCTACTGCTGGGTTTCCATTTGTTGCCATTATGACTGATATGCAATAATCTGTATGCCTACCGATCCGTGTTTAGACTCATATAGTGTAGGCAATTATTTACATCAAGGGACATCACTATCTCTATCTATGTTGATACATTGCCAAGTGGTATAGTTACAGCTGAAGGACAACATTCGCTTTAAGGAGTGCATCACAACAGTAATTAGAGATATTGGTTATCGAGTCAATTATACCACACAAATTTCAAGTCAAATCATTTCGAACAAAGTTATTTTTAATACTTAGGAAAGTTAGCGAGTGGAATCATTGACCCTGCTTCGTGACAAACCCCTGTCTCGGATCCAAGTGAAAATCAATGACATTTCCAGGTCTCCCTGGACTTCCTGGATAAATAAAGGTTAAAAACAGTTCAAGGATTTACTGTATATGGACTCCAATCAATGTATATGGGCCCCAATATCCAATACCTAGACGACATACAGTGGGGGAAAAAAGTATTTAGTCAGCCACCAATTGTGCAAGTTCTCCCACTTAAAAAGATGAGAGAGGCCTGTAATTTTCGTCATAGGTACACGTCAACTATGACAGACAAATTGAGAAAAAATAATCCAGACAATCACATTGTAGGATTTTTAATGAATTTATTTGCAAATTCTGGTTGAAAATAAGTATTTGGTCAATAACAAAAGTTTCTCTTTGTTACTTTGTTATATACCCTTTGTTGGCAATGACACAGGTCAAACGTTTTCTGTAAGTCTTCACAAGGTTTTCACACACTGTTGCTGGTATTTTGGCCCATTCCTCCATGCAGATCTCCTCTAGAGCAGTGATGTTTTGGGGTTGTCGCTGGGCAACACGGACTTTCAACTCCCTCCAAAGATTTTCTATGTGGTTGAGATCTGGAGACTGGCTAGGCCACTCCAGGACCTTGAAATGCTTCTTACGAAGCCACTCCTTCGTTGCCCGGGCGGTGTGTTTGGGATCATTGTCATGCTGAAAGACCCAGCCACGTTTCATCTTCAATGCCCTTGCTGATGGAAGGAGGTTTTCACTCAAAATCTCACGATACATGGCCCCATTCATTCTTTCCTTTACACGGATCAGTCGTCCTGGTCCCTTTGCAGAAAAACAGCCCCAAAGCATGATGTTTCCACCCCCATGCTTCAAAGTAGATATGGTGTTCTTTGGATGCAACTCAGCATTCTTTGTCCTCCAAACACGACGAGTTGAGTTTTTACCAAAAAGTTATATTTTGGTTTCATCTGACCATATGACTTTCTCCCAATCCTCTTCTGGATCATCCAAATGCACTCTAGCAAACTTCAGACGGGCCTGGACATGTACTGGCTTAAGCAGGGGGACACGTCTGGCCCTGCAGGATTTGAGTCCCTGGCGGCGTAGTGTGTTACTGATGGTAGGCTTTGTTACTTTGGTCCCAGCTCTCTGCAGGTCATTCACTAGGTCCCCCCGTGTGGTTCTGGGATTTTTGCTCATTTTTGACCAAATACTTATTTTCCACCATAATTTGCAAATAAATTCATAAATAATCCTACAATGTGATTTTCTGGAGAAAAAAAATCTCAATTTGTATGTCATAGTTGACGTGTACCTATGATGAAAATTACAGGCCTCTCTCATCTTTTTAAGTGGGAGAACTTGCACAATTGGTGGCTGACTAAATACTTTTTTTCCCCACTGTATCTTTATCCCTATATAATATCCTACCAATTATAAAGAAGATCAGCATTTCATGATGAGAATATGACCATATACAGCCCTGCTTTCAGTACATTTGGTACACTGTTCTGTTCTGTGCACAGTTATGTTTATGATCTGTATAGAATGATGTATTTGCTGTTATCTAAAGTATTTTTTAAATGTTTGCATATAAAGGATGCTTTCTTTTCTGTTTGCATATCTTTCCAGCCCCTCCAATGGCAATCTAAGAAGCATGGGGTTAATCTGAATCTATCAAAGGTCATTGGTGATTGCATAGGCATAACGTGTAGGGGGGATGGGGGGACATATCCCATCCAATATTGAAAACAGCTCAATAGGACCTAATGGCCATAACGCCCAATGTTCAAGGCACTGTTACACCCTTGGGTGCATGGTCTTGCCAAATCCTGTGTGTGCTGGCCAGCTACTAACAGTCTCACGAGAGAAAGTACTCTGTCTCTTGGATTGGTGTAAGCATTAGTCTCCAGCATTGGTTTTACACCAGTTCACTTCCTTTAAATCGATAAAGGGAGGTGAGCAAGGGCATACTTAAGACAGAACTATAGAGAAATAGGAAGTGAAAAAGTGAACACTTAAGGCAGAAGGGTAGAGAAATGGGAAGTATAGAAGTGCACACTTAGGGCAGAAGGGTTGAGGAATGGGATGCAGGCATAGCTGAGCTGAACAATAGTTCAGTAAAATAGACTAATGGATTGGCTATGGCTAGATAAATCTGCCTTTCAAATACTTTGAGTGTTTGCATGACCCTGTCTGTAGGGCTAGATGAGCGGGGTTTGCACTTTTGGGACTGTTTGATTGGGTTCCATCGTGCCAGGCAAGCTCAATCAAGCAGAAGTTTTACATTTAAAAAAAATTATACTACTTGAGTCCCAGGTCTGCTAGATAAACAGGCTGATCATCTGACTCCTCTACCCCATCCAGCCATCGGCCCTCAGCTCAGGCAGGGTATAAATGGAACTCTCTGGTAGATATGCCACATGGGAGGGGCCAACCTTTCTTAAGTAATGGGATTAACTAGCAATGGGCGGGCGGAAGCAACATACAGTATGTGACGACTGCACCAACCGACAGAGAAACAAGAATGTTTTGGGATCTTAAAATCCCAAAATGTTACCGTGACCTCTGCATGGTGCTGTACACCAATACTGCCATTGATTGAACATGTCCTATAATCAATATGAATCCATAAAGTTGTGTGTTATAAAAATAGAATGCGGACAACCAGGCCATCTGCCTCTTAGTATGGTGGGGCTGTAGTGAGGTTTAATCCAGATTACTGCCGGGCGAAAAATAAAAAAATGTTGCCGTCTGTTCCCTAGCCGTCATTGCGTCCTTCACTACACATCCAAGCAGCAGGACAGGTTAGCTAGACACACAGGATCCTATTGGACTTAACCAACTGCTAAGAATCCCAACCCAACAGTAGCAACCATAGGGAAGCAACTAGTCTTATTTACAATAATATAATATCTATATCTCCAAGTCTAGCAGACCCCTATAGGGCAGCAATATGTTCCTAATCAAGACGATGATGCCTAACCCGCTGGCTGGTTTGAATCCTATGGGTGGAGGAGAGGACGAGGCGGAGGCGGCACCTGCCGACCCAGCCAAAGCAGCAGGGATGACACGTGAAGAGTATGAGGAGTACCAAAAACAGTTGGTGGAGGAGAAGTAAGTAAACTGCCCTGTTGCCGAAACTCCATTTTGTTTTGCTGTTGTTGTTGGATCATGGAAAGCAGCAAACATGGCTGGCTAACCCTACAGAATGTAAACACCATCACAACTATTCCATCGGACCTTGACTAGCACCATGCAGGAATTCTGCACCTTCCTATTTTTTAAATATATATTTCATTGTTTTGTTGAGTTTTTCTACTTTTCTAAATTAGTTAAGATTGAATGTATCTACATTTATTCCCATTGTTGCAGTTTATTATTATTTAAGTTCATTTGATTTATTTTCTTGATGGTTTTTAGTCACTCAAGGTTAGAATAGAGACCCAAACTCAAACTAGAGTTTTGAGCATATTCTTTCTGTAAAAATGCATGCTTGTTTCTTGTGTTCCAAAAGTCACCCCAGTCCCTATCAACAACAACCACCATTACACAATTAATCTCTGATCATTGATCCTCTGCTGTGTTGTCAACAATGTTGTTGACGCCCAACTGTCTAACCAACATTGAATCTGACTAACACTCAAATGGATCAACACTAAAATAAAGTAAAACAAATCTGCAAAATAGTCTACTATCCTACTAAGTTCCCAGGAGGAATTTTCAAAATGGCTGCCAAATTTGACCCATGACGATTTAACTGCGACGGTGTAGGAGGAGCTTTGATGGTGAAGTGAAAAATCATAGATCTAATGTCATCTTATTAAAACTCTGTCTACCTAAAATAATTTCAGCACTCTGTCAAGTTTATTCCTCCATAAACACAGTTTCAGACAGGAATGATTGTCATTCACATTTACATTTTAGTCATTTAGCAGACGCTCTTATCCAGAGCGATTTACATGAGCAATTAGGGTTGAGTGCCTTGCTCAAAGGCACATCAAACAGGAGGAAGAGTTCTCTACTGTTTTGCTCAAAAGACAATAGTCTCTGCTCTTGATTTTGGTTTCACTGTCTGGTGGCGATTTTGTTTTGTTTATGTAATATGATGTGGCTGCTGCCCAGTAGGGCATGCTCTGAATGCTTTTAAATGCATAAGGGGCAGTGAAGAAGTGCACTCTTCTGGAGATGGGTAGAGATTTGGGACATAGCCTATGTCTGTGAGAGCAGGGCAGAGCAGAGCAGGGGTTAAGGTTAAACTGTGGCTGTGTGACTAGGTTGGGTGTCTTGGCCTTTGTCTCTCAAAACAGAGCAGAGCAGTGCAGGAGTTAGTGTTATGTTGTGGCTGTGTTGGGTTTCTTGTCCTAATCCGCAGTCTGGCCCTAGCCCTCAACCTGGTCAACTAATAATCCTCCTCTTCAATTGGCTAGGGTAAACAGTTCCCTTTCCACAGCGACCAATGAGGTTGGCACAAAATGGCCAAGAAAGGGATTCTCATGATCCTTAGCCTAATGCCAATAAACTAATGACTTGACCATGCATTGTATCTCATTGTTCAATACATATTGATATGGTCTGAGTTGTGTAAAGCCATAATAATGACACAAGAGGAAAGCAGTGGAAATGTTGTTTTAATAAATTATTGTATCGGAGCCATAGTGTGCGGCTTAAAAACAACCCAGGAAGAAAGCAAGCAGCACTGTTGATGATGAAGCAATTTCTCATTGTCACAATAAGGTCTCTCAATAGCTAATGCTAACTAACGTTAGCCATTTGCCTATAACACAGTAATCATACAAAAATCTATGATATCAGCCAGCCAGCCATCGTCCATGTTCTAATTTCAAATGATGGAAGCAGCATATGATTGAACAGTGAGATTATGTAGTCTGAACCTCGTTAGCTTCTTACCTAAACCCGTCTCATGGTTAACCCATGGCACAAAAGGTCAGGAAAGCCCTGCATCCTCTAAACTTTAGGTTTTGTTCTACAGTATGGGATTCACAATGTATTTGCATGGTAGCTATATAATGTTAGCCTCGTTCGACCATCCTGATCGAGTGCTGGTGGATCACGCTAATATAATGTACCTTTGGTTAAAACAAGATAATACCCAGACCATTATTGTCTTTGAATACACAGTAAACAAACATACAGTATATACATGCATACTGTACATACATACAGTTATCCATGACCTGATCACGCTAGATATCAATTAATTAATCAATAAATTAATCAATTAATCCATCATTCATTTTCTCTGTTTTTCAGGATGGAGAGAGACGCAGACTTCTTACACAAGAAGGCTGAGAGGGCAACTCTGCGGGTGTGCCTAAGAGACAAGTACAGGCTCCCAAAGGTGAGAACCTATTCCCGGCCGCCATACAACCTTATGTAGTTACCTCCCTGGTCACTGTAAAGTAAGGTTGGGGTTAGTCTCGCAAATCCAAGACCTTGGAGCAACATAAGCTATGAAATGGCACAAGGTCTGGGGAGGATGTCGGATTCTCTTTGACATAAAGCTGCAATATGTAACTTTTTGGGTGACCTGACCGAAATCACATAGATATGGGAGTTATAGATCTGTCATTCTCATTGAAAGCAAGTCTAGGAAGCTGTAAAACTGTTCTATGTGTGTTATTTCTATGCTTCACGCTCTTAAGTTTAGTTTTTGCATCTTTTACTTTCGGTTTTGTACAGTACACCAGCTTCAAATGAAAATACAATATTTTTGGTTATGGAAAATATATTTCACAGCAGTTTAGATGGTACAATGATTCTCTGCACTATACTCGCTTGTTTTGTCACATAAACTGAAATTAGGCGAACTATTCGAATTTTAGTAAACAGGATATGGCAGAGCGATTTCTGCATAGTGCACCATTAAAATTAACAACAGCAACAAAAAATCAGGGGAGGGTTCTCTTCAGACAGACAACTCTCCTAACAAATCACACATTTGGGTAGGCAGGGCTTAAAATGCGGGCGGCAATTTGGTTAATGTTTAGTTAGGGCATCAAACGGATACGGCAGTGACGTAACCGGGGATGCACATCCGATTTCCAACTCGTCCTCTCTGTCCCAACTGACACCAGAACTTCTACAGACATGTAAGATCATAGGAACACTGAGGGAGGCATCCTGTCTGTCTAAAGAGAATATTAAATTCTATTAAATTCTATTGAAGGTATTGTACAAGCCAATAGGTACAACTGATTAAGACAATGAATGGCGAAATTATGTGATTGTACATTTCCTTTCTTGACAAAAAAATAGTATTTAATGACATGCAAATTACTATACAAATCTGGCATGCCAAACTAATGATATTAGTCTGTTGTGTAAGACTGTGGCGGATATATTTATAATCGTCACACCAGGCAGGCGTCATGCTTTCCAACGGGAAGGCTAACGCAGGTTTCAGATAATCCTTCCTGGAGTCTAGAATGTAGGTTCTAGAATGAAGGTTTGATGTTGCTGGAGTTTCACTCTCCAAAGATAAATCATCTCTTCTTCTTCTTCTTCTTCTTCTTCTTCTTCTTCTTCTTCTTCTTCTTCTTCTTCTTCTTCTTCTTCTTCTTCTTCTTCTTCTTCTTCTTCTTCTTCTTCTTCATTGCATTAAGTGTATTCAAACTAAGAATCCTTAAGGCGGTGACCATATGACGTGTGCACCAGTGAGGTGTTAAAATGACACTCATCCCCTGCCTTGCAGGAAACAGGTGTGTACTTCAAATCAAATCAAATCAAATCTTATTGGCCACATGCGCCGAATACAACAGGTGCAGACATTACAATGAAATGCTTACTTACAGCCCTTAACCAACAGTACATTTATTTTTTTATAAAAAAAGTCAAATAAAACAACAACAAAAAATTGTTGAGAAAAAAAGAGCAGAAGTAAAATAAAATAACAGTAGGGAGGCTATATATACAGGGGGGTACCGGTGCAGAGTCAATGTGCGGGGGCATCGGCTAGTTGAGGTAGTTGAAGTAATATGTACATGTGGGTAGAGTTAAAGTGACTATGCATAAATAATTAACAGAGTAGCAGCAGCGTAAAAAGATGGGGTGGGGGGCAGTGCAAATAGTCTGGGTAGCCATGATTAGCTGTTCAGGAGTCTTATGGCTTGGGGGTAGAAGCTGTTGAGAAGTCTTTTGGACCTAGACTTGGCACTCCGGTACCACTTGCCGTGCGGTAGCAGAGAGAACAGTCTATGACTAGTCTTTGACAATTTTGAGGGCCTTCCTCTGACACCGCCTGGTATAGAGGTCCTGGATGGCAGGAAGCTTGGCCCCAGTGATGTACTGGGCCGTACGCACTACCCTCTGTAGTGCCTTGCGGTCGGAGGCCAAGCAGTTTCCATACCAGGCGGTGATGCAACCAGTCAGGATGCTCTCGATGGTGCAGCTGTATAATATTTTGAGGATCTGAGGACCCATGCCAAATCTTTTCAGTCTCCTGAGGGGGAATAGGCTTTGTCGTGCCCTCTTCATGACTGTCTTGGTGTGTTTGGACCATGATAGTTCGTTGGTGATGTGGACACCAAGGAACTTGAAGCTCTCAACCTGTTCCACTACAGCCCCGTCGATGAGAATGGGGGTGTGCTCAGTCCTCTTATTTTTCCTGTAGTCCACAATCATCTCCTTTGTCTTGGTCACGTTGATGGAGAGGTAGTTATCCTAGCACCACACGGCCAGGTCTCTGACCTCCTCCCTATAGGCTGTCTCATCGTTGTCGGTGATCAGGCCTACCACTGTTGTGTCGTCGGCAAACTTAATGATGGTGTTGGAGTCGTGCCTGGCCATGCAGTCATGGGTGAACAGGGAGTACAGGAGGGGACTGAGCACGCACCCCTGAGGGGCCCCTGTGTTGAGGATCAGTGTGGCAGATGTGTTGTTACCTACCCTTACTACCTGGGGGTGGCCTGTCAGGAAGTCCAGGATCCAGTTGCAGAGGGAGGTGTTTAGTCCCAGGATCCTTAGCTTAGTGATGAGCTTTGAGGGCACTATGTTGTTGAATGCTGAGCTGTAGTCAATGAATAGCATTCTCACGTAGGTGTTCCTCTTGTCCAGGTGGGAAAGGGCAGTGTGGAGTGCAATAGAGATTGCATCATCTGTGGATCTGTTGGGGCGGTATGCAAATTGGAGTGGGTCTAGGGTTTCTGGGATAATGGTGTTGATGAGCCATGACCAGCCTTTCAAAGCACTTCATGGCTACAGACTTCAGTGCTACGGGTCGGTAGTCATTTAGGCAGGTTATCTTAGTGTCCTTGGGCACGGGGACTATGTTGGTCTGCTTGAATCATGTTGGTATTACAGACTCAGTCAGGGACATGTTGAAAATGTCAGTGAAGACACTTGCCAGTTGGTCAGCACATGTTTGGAGTACACGTCCTGGTAATCCGTCTGGCCCTGCGGCCTTGTGAATGTTGACCTGCTTAAAAGTCTTACTCACATCGGCTACGGAGAGCGTGATCACATAGTCATCCAGAACAGCTGGTGCTCTCATGCATGCTTCAGTGTTGCTTGCCTCGAAGCGAGCATAGAAGTGGTTTAGCTCGTCTGGAAGTCTTGTGTCACTGGGCAGCTCGCGGCTGTGCTTCCCTTTGTAGTCTGTAATAGTTTTCAAGCCCTGCCACATCCGACGAGCGTCAGAGCCGGTGTAGTACGATTCAATCTTAGTCCTGTATTGACTCTTTGCCTGTTTGATGGTTCGTCGGAGGGCATAGCGGGATTTCTTATAAGCGTCCGGGTTAGAGTCCCACTCCTTGAAAGCGGCAGCTCTACCCTTTAGCTCTGTGCGGATGTTTCCTGTAATCCATGGCTTCTGGTTGGGGTATGTACGTACGGTCACTGTGGGGACGACATCATCGATGCACTTATTGATGAAGCCAGTGACTGAAGAATCTGAAGAATCCTGGAACATGTTCCAGTCTGTGCTAGCAAAACAGTCCTGTAGCTTACCATCTGCGTCATCTGACCACTTTTTTATTAACCGAGTCACTGGTGCTTCCTGCTTTAGTTTTTGCTTATAAGCAGGAATCAGGAGGATAGAGTTATGGTCAGATTTGCCAAATGGAGGGCGAGGGAGAGCTTTGTATGCGTCTCTGTGTGTGGAGTAAAGGTAGTCTAGAGTTTTATTTTCCTCTGGTTGCACATTTAACATGCTGGTCGAAATTAGGTAGAACGGATTTAAGTTTCCCTGCATTAAAGTCCCCGGCCACTAGGAGCGCTGCCTCTGGATGAGCGTTTTCCTGTTGACTTATGGCCTTATACAGCTCATTCAGTGCAATCTTAATGCCAGCACTGGTTTGTGGTGGTAAATAGACAGCTATGAAAAATATAGATGAAAACTCTCTTGGTAAATAGTGTGGTCTACAGCTTATCATAAGATACTCTACCTCAGGTTGAGCAAAACCTAGAGACTTCCTTAGTATTTGTAGTAGGATGTAGAATGTCTGTGTTACTAGCTAATTTAACATCTGTGTCAGTCTCTACAGAATGAGCAGGAGACAGGTGTACTTCAAATAACTTTGTAACAACTGCTGACATAAAAAAGGCTTTTCAATTTGTTTTTGATTGATTTGATTGATTTGGTTGATTAGATTGATTAGATTCATTGACTGATTTATTGATTGGTTGATTTATTGATTGTGTTGGTCTGGTCTCTACAAAGCATGCAGGACGAGATGTTGGTTGCTACAGAGACAATAGTGTAGCAGTAGAGGATGTCTCTCTGTATTCCTAGCTGATGCTGTGTTGTTAATGCCTTTTCTCTACAGGCTGAGCAGGAGACAAGAGTATACAGTGCCTTCAGAAAGTAGTCATACCCCTTGACTTATTCCACATTTTGTGTTACAGCATGAATTCAAAATTGGGCAGCATACCCAATTGGGCAGTAGTCCCCTGTAGCTCAGTTGGTAGAGCATGGCGCTTGCATCGCCAGGGTTGTGGGTTCATTTCCCACGGGGGGCCAGTATGAAAATGTATGCACTCACTGACTGTAAGTCGCTCTGGATAAGAGTGTCTGCTAAATGACTAAAATGTAAAATGTAATACCCATAACATGATGAAGCAACCACTATGCTTGAAAATATGGAGAGTGGTACTCAGTAATGTGTTGGATTGGATTTGCCCCAAACTTAGTATTTAGGACAAAACGTTATTTGCTTTGCCACATTTTTTGCAGTATTACTTTAGTGTATGGTTGTAAACAGGATGCATGTTTTGGAATATTTGTATTCTGTACAAGCTTCCTTCTTTTCACTCTGTCAATTAGGTTAGTATTGTGGAGTAACTACAATGTTGTTGATCCATCCTCAGTTTTTTCCTATCACAGCCATTAAACTCTGTACCTGT